CTCCTGGTTTGTGGCATTAGATCATGGAGTAGGAGGCCAAGATGCAAGAAAAGATGGGCAGCAGGACACGAAAATGATGACATCCATCATGCTTGGCCCAAGCCCTTCGTGGTCCCCTCTAGTTCCAGGTCCAGTTGCGGGGGAGGGTGAGGTTTTTATCTTTTTACCTGCCACTGTTCCTTTGCTCAATCCCCCACCCCCACCCAGTCCCCTGCAGAACAGAGCCATGGCCTTGACCTCAAACCTCAATTTCCAAGTGACAAAAGTGAGGCTGTAAGGGCGCCCTGACACAGAATGAGCCAGCAACTGGCACAGTTTGAGGCTGTCACTTTGTCAAACGCTGGTGATGTGCCTCTCCTGCTGTCTGCCTTCTCTGTGGCTGAATAAAGGACAAATCCTCCACTGGGAGCTCCAGATGACTCCTTTCACAGAGCCATCCCCTTGTCTTGAAAAAAAATATTAGCTACATGAGGGCACAGGAGATTTTGATGCCTCGTTGGTCTACCTGAGGACAAAGGGAATGTGATTCCAGACTCCCAGAGGGTGTGTGAGAACAACTTGAAAAGGGAAAGATAAAAGAGGAAGATGTGAAATCCATGGGTCGGGAACTCAGTCAGGCTCTTGACAATCTGTTTAATTTAGGTGAAGACCCATCCCTTACTCAGTGCAGGCACGGAGGGTGCAGGTGGGATGCAGCATGCTTCCTAGTGATGGGCAGACATGGTATCAAAGGTAGCTGAGGGGGCCCAAGGTAGTCAGTGGAGCTAATGAACACATGGGTACCAGGACCCAAGGAATAGCACTTTCAGCATGTGGGAAGACACAGAGCCCTTAAACTTCGAGTTCTGGCATCTAGAAGCTGCAAAACTGAGACCCTGAAAGTGAATGCCAACACAGTGGGGAGGGGGCAGGGGGCTCTGATACCAACAGGATGTGGCCAATGGGCCAGACCCACAGACCCCATGACCCCCAAGAGTAGGGCCTGGTGCTCAGGTTGCACCTAGACCTGAAGCCCTTGGAGACCAGCTCTACCAGTCCCAGAGCAGGGGAGGTCCCAGGAGAGATGTGGGGCCATGGGGCCCTGCCATTCTGGGCACCAAAAAGGTGAAGATTTGTGTTTAGAAACTGAGCCTGCTGAGAACCAAGGACGTCACAGACACGGAGTTACTCCCTGCTCACTCTTTTCTTCATTTCTTTGTTTCTGTTGTCTAGAAAGTCTACAGAAACTCTTGGGAACAGACTCGGGCTGGCGGCTATGACTTCCGGCTGGATGCCATCCCGTTCCAGACTGCCCGGGCATCCAGGGAGATCGCCAGTGATGTAAGGCCCCATCTCTCTCTCTCCCTCTACCACTGACAAGTTTTACTCTGGTTTCCCTCGTTCTGTTGAAAGGCAAACCATCAGGAACCAAAACTGAATGAGTATTTCAAAGGAAAGAAAAAATAGGCCTTATTTTCTAGAAGTCAGTTAACACATGATGGATTTGTTGATCTGCAGGAAAGGGACTTCTCTTAGCTGATGCGCGGTATGATGGGGTAGAAAGAGATTGGGCTTTTCCCCTTGACTGATGTGAGCTCAGATCCTGGCTCAGTCACTTAGGAATTGGCTCCATGGTCTTGGACGCGTTGCTTAAATTCTCTGAACTCAAATTTCTACATCTGTGAAATAGGGATATAGTACTTGTATCCTAGGATGGATGTAGGAATGGAAACAGGATGGTTTAGAGGGTCATGCACAGAGCAGGTGTTCAAACCATGGCAGCTGTTATCATGGGAGAGGAAGGCCTCCTGACTAGATAGGTGATCATCCATGAATGACTTGTTACTGGTCCACAAGGATATAGGTACAGAAATTGAGAGCAAGCATTTGGAAAGGTTTTTAGCAATTAGACATGTGACATCCAGGCCTGTGACCTGTGGGCTCATCTTCTTGAGCAGGGGGAGGCCAGTTAGGGTGTTTAAAAATGCACATGGTACCACTACACAGTCATCACATGTGGTAGGACCACATGTGGTAGGACCACATATTGGCTTTGGTGGACTGGATATGAACAAAGCAAACCAGAATGAATGCGGTCCTTTTGAGGAGCACTGGACTGGGTCCCTAAAAGCTAGAAAGAGTCAGAGGAAGGGTGGCTGCTGAAAGAATGGGTGTATTTCTCTTCCCGTTGGATTATAAATCACAATAGCAACAGTACCAGTAGCCACCACCCAGTGCCAGACATGACACTAATCCCTCATGTCATGGAACCTTCTCAATGTCCTATAGGGTATAGGTTCATCTATTTTATCAGATGGGGAAACTGGGGCTCCGATAGACTCCATAAGTGGCCCACGGCCACACAGCAGGGAGGTAGCAGAGGGAGGTCCAGATGGTAGGTCTACTTGAATCCAAAGCTGTGCCCTTAACCCACTGGAGGATTCCTGCTGAGGATCCTGCGGGGGTGGGGTAGGTACCCATGACCTCCTCTGCTCTTTTGACCTGCAGTTCCGGTACAAAGAGGCCTTCCTGCGGGACAGGGGCCTGCAGATCGGGTACCGCAGCATCCATGATGACCCAAGGATGAGGCATTTCCTCAGCGTCGGCAAACTCCAGAGCGACAATGAGTACAAGAAGGACTTTGCTAAGAGTCGGTCCCAGTTCCACAGCCGCCCAGACCAGCCTGGCTTCCTCCAGGCCAAGAGGAGCCAGCAGCTGGCCAGCGACGTGTGCTACAGGCAGCCCCTGCCGCAGCCCACCTGCGACCCTGAGCAGCTAGGCCTGAAGCACGCACAGAAGGCCCACCAGCTGCAGAGTGATGTGAGCTGCCCCTGCCTGCCTGGCCGATGCCCTTTCTTTGGTGCCTCTTCCAAAAAGATGGCTATGACCCCATAGTCATTTATCTCTGGGAGGAGCCAGACTGAGATAGAGCCCAAGACATCTAATATATTCGTTCCTGAAGAAATAATAACAACTGCCATTTATCCAGTCCTTACTCTGGGCCAGGCTGTGGTGCCAAATACTTTACAAGCATTGAGTCATCTGGTCCTCACAATGACCCTGTTATTGCCCCATTTCACAGATGAGGAAGCTGAGGCTCGGAGGAGTTATGTAACTTCTTACTAAAGATCCCATAGCCAATAAGTGGCAGACCTGGGACATGAACCCCATTTGGTTTTGTGTGAGAGCCCAAGCTCTTGATTGCAATGCCAGACTGTTTCCAAGGGGTCTTAGCAGTTATCAACCCATCCCTGGCACTTTTCTCTCTCGGAAGAATCTGAAGCCCAGGGAAGGGAAGTGACTTCCCTTAGGCCACAGTGCAAGTTAAGGTAGGAGCTCAGACTTGAACCAGGTCTCCCCATCCACTGCCCCCATTGCTGCTCCCATCACTTGAAGGCATAAATGCAAGGGACAGCGACAGCTGGCCAGGCTCACAGCACATTGGGTCGGGTCCTCAGTGTCAGGGAGCTCCTGCTTAAGATGAGTTTGCACCCCTTGTCCTTGCTTTACTGACTACAACACATTTTCCATCTTACGGCCACCTTTAAACTTCTCCGTGCTGTGGCCAACCACCCCCAAAACTGATGACATTGCCCTCTTACTTCCTCCTTTTTTTCCCCCAAGGTCAAGTACAAATCAGACTTGAACCGGACCAGAGGTATTGGTTGGACCCCTCCTGGCTCCTACAAAGTGGAGATGGCTCGGCGGGCTGCAGAACTGGCCAGTGCAAGGGGCCTGGGTCTTCAAGGGGCTTATGTAAGTAGCAAGGAGCAAACTACCCTGGTGTGCAAGACCATGAGGAAAGACAAGCTCACTGTCTCTTTTCAAACTTTATTTTTGGCCAAAGGCCAGCTGGCTCTAAAGAAGTATGAAATGTATCTTGAGCAAGGTGTCTAATTTCATGGGTCTGAGATGACCAGGCAGATGACACCTGGGTTAAATGTCCTGCAGGGTTTTCTCTGAAGTCACAGCCATTAGTTTGGCAGAGACGAACCTGCCAGGGCTACATCAATCCTGGGCCATGGCAGCCCAGGCTGGGCTGCCTGCTTGCTCATTACATTCACAGAAAGGGTCAGGGACTTGCTGGCTACAACAGTCTGGATTTTGAACCCGACTTTGTTCAGAAGAAAGACACCACATCTAAAGGAGAGATCGGCTTTGCTTCTTCCTCATTCTTGCCTTGAGGATCCTTTTTCTGGGAGAGGGTGGTGGAGGGGAAAAGGAAGGGGTGGTGAATGTTTTAAATGCTCCCGGGGTGTCTTAGACAGCTTATCCTATGGGAGCAGGGTGGAAGCTTCATTTTGACTGAAGGTGGTATGTTTGATTTCTGCAGAGAGGGGCAGAGGTTATGGAGACTGGAGATAATCAGAGGGGGGATGTGAACCCAGATGCCACCGAGATCCTGCACATCCAGAGGAGAAAGGCTTTGCTGTTGTGAGCAGGTGGTGTCCACCCAGGATTCTCAGAAGAGACGCTGGAGAGGAAATGTGCACGCCAGAGACATGCTTAGGTTGGGCGAGCTGTAAACACACCAGCCAGTGCCCTGATCTGCCTTTATTAAAATAACAACTCTGTGAAAGCAGGTAGAGAATGCTGTGTTTTTTGGTCCCCTATCTAATACCTAGAAGCAGATGGCTGGGTCTGTCTTGGTCCTTGAGTGTCTGGGATGAGGAACAAAGATGCCAAGGTGACTCCTACTGATGCCAAGCATTCTGAAACTGCACATTTGCAAAGGTCCGAGGTGGAGGTGGCCAGTGAGCACTGATTTTCTTCAAACAGTAGAAGGTGCCATTGTTTGAAAAGAAGCAAACAATATATATTTTGGGTTGATTCTGCCAGTTCCTGGGTGACTCAGGAGGGAACCTGATGAAATGGTGGAGGTGCTGGTCTGAAACGCCTCAGGCCAGCAGTAATTGTCTCTGCTTCGAGCATGGGCACCTCGCTGTGTGGCATCCTGGGGCTCCAAGGGGTGTTTGTTGCTGCCCACAAGGCCTCGCCTTGTCTGAGGTTCTGGAGACACCTTACAAGCTCTGCTCTCTTTGGATGGTGGCTTTGATCCAATTCAGAAATTTGGTAACTCGGGTGTAAACCCCTGGCTTCTTCCCACATTCCTGGCCCCAGCTCACTATCCCATAGACATAGTAGGTCCCATCCTTCTCACAGGTCAGAGGGCCTCCAGAGTCACCCTAAAGGAAAAAGATGTGTGAGTCCACCTTTGTGAGTCTGAATCCATTAGGAGACACGCTGCCTCCTATGAGGGCATGCCAGCGGGTGATGGGGTGGGCTGCTCTGGAAAGCCATGACAAGACACTACCTATAAGTCACGAGACACAAGGCTCTGAAGGAAAAGAAGCAAATACCAACCCACACCGCTGACTCAGCAAGGGCTTGGCTGAGGGGCCACAAAGCTGGGGCCACGGCACTGTGGTCACACCCTTATATCCAGACTCAGCCGTGACTGTTGGTAACTCAGGTATTATGACTGTGAGTCTCAGGGGCCCTTGACTTCCATTCCAGTAGAGACCTGGGGGCCAGTGTCCAGTTTGAATAAAGCCCTTCCAGGACCCACAGGGCATACATAGGGTGGGCTGGGCTGGGCTGGGCTCAGAAGCAGCATGGCTTAGACGGTCAACATGGCTTATAGGGTTAGACCTCCTGGGTTCCAAGTCAGGCCTACCACCTGCTAGCCACATTGTAAACTGTGGATAGCAACAGAACACTCCCCCATGCATGGGGTTCTTGGGAGGATTGATATTTGTAAAGCACATAGAATAGTGCCTGGTTTATAGTCAACCTCCAATCAAAGTGGTGAGGAAGATGATGGCTCTCAACGACACACTGCTGCTCACACACTACAGTTGATAGGCTTTTTAGAGGTATCTCGTTAGCCACAGCCTTATGATCTTATGGATATGTTATTTCCATCTCATATTTTGGGCACCTGAGATTGGAGAATTATTTCGATGTGATAGACTGAATGTTTTTGTGACCCCCAAATTGATATATTGAAGCCTAACCCCCAATGTGATGGGATGGCCTTTGGGGGATGAATAGGCTGTGAGGGTAGAGCATGGGATTCACGCCCTTGTGAAAGGGACCCCAGAGAGCGAGCTCCCTCCCCCCACCACGTGAGGGTACAACACGAAGTCGGCAGTCTGCAACCCAGCAGTGGGTTCTTGCTGGGACCCGACCATGTTGGCCCCTGGATCTCAGGCTCCCAGCCTCCAGAATGGTGAGAAATTTCCATGGTTTAAGTCCTCCCGTCTTTTGTTGTAGCAGCCTGAGCTGACTAAGTCATTTGGTGATGGATAAACATCACAAAGTAAAGGACACCACCAGGTTTTATGTCCGAGACTGTCTGTTTCCAAAGCCTGCAAGTGAAGCCCTTGAAAATTCCTAGGAATCAAAGAAGTTTTCTTTCTCATTTTCCAGAGGCTTAGGGCAAATTGCACACATCTATCTGCCTGTGTCCCTCTTTTGCATAGGTGGATATTGGTGACCCCTTCCAAATATAGTAGAGCCACAACCATGATTATCCATCCCAAAGTGGGCTCAAGGACAGCAGGTAATTGTTGGGTCCCTTTGCAGAGAGAAGTTAGAACTTGGATGTGGCCATGCTGGGGTTTCTAGGTGGGTGGCATATGAGGACAATAAGCAGGACTTTCTAAATTGGGGTATCTCTGGGAGTCTGGGAAGGCCATTTCCTGTGTGATGTGACCTCTCCAGGGAGAGGGACTATGGGAAGTGGGCTTTGACTTGGGGCAGAGGCTTCGGGTCACTTTGGCACCAGTAAGTAGAGCCACCACTCTCTGCCCCTCCAGCAGCCTCTGAGTCACCACAGGCCTCAGCAGCTTGGGGTTCTCAGAAGTCCTAGACTGTGGGGTATGTTGGGCAGGGCCTAGGTTCTCTGTGGCCACAGAGGAGCCGTTCAGAGAGGCTCGGCTTGCTAGGGCTAAGTCTCTCTCTTATACACACACACACACACACACACACACACACGCACACATCACGCACGCACACTTAAATCTCAGTGATTCATTAGTTAACATTGTAAATTCTCTGGGTTTCTCATTTTTCTCCTAGCTACTTGTCTTCTGGGAAGTTCCCTGTTTGTTGGGACTTCAGACACACTGCCCAGCTCTGTGGCCAGAAGCACCTCCTTCACATTTAAACCCTGTGGAGCAAAGTGGCAGAGGCTTAGGTGTCCACAGACCGGGATTGATGGAATTCTTGCTTTCCCACTTACCACCCTGGTGCTATAGGCCGAGATGACAGTGATAATGACATCCCATTGACCAGAGTGTCATGAGAATTAAATTAAGAAATGCAGGCAAAGTGACCACTCTGGTTATTGTGCTGACTCATCCTGGATTGATATGGGTTCAGATGTGACAGAGGCTAGTATGCCCATCTGTGCCTGTGCTTTATGGCAGGTGGGCTACTGAGCCAGCCTTCCAGCCCAGGGCTCTAAGGCATCTCTGTGCCCAATGTAAGGTCCTGCCAATCCCTTGTCTTCCAAGTGCCATGGGGGTCTCTGACCTGGCATGTGTCTCTCCCAGGCTTCTGAAGGTTTCCCGCACAGATCATGGTCTCATCAATCATGTAGTTGTAGAGTTGGCGTGAGTTGCATAGAGTGTTGGCAATCAGCTTGACTTTGGCATCCAGGAGCTGTTGGGACTCTTCCCCTGTGGGGTGGAGAAAAGAGGTGGTCACTGTGGGGATTAGGATGGCACCCAGCCCACCAGAAGCCACGAGCCCTGAGCTCAAAAAGGAAGCATTTTTCCAGGAGATGGGCAGAGAAGCCTCATCTGTCAAAGCCGGGGGCTCTTGGCCTGCAGCCTTCACCACAGCTTTATGGACCTTAGTGCTGTGCTTACCACAGCAGAGCAGAGTCATGTATTTCTCCCCTCCTTCCCCACCTAGACCGTGAGATCACGAAGGCAGGGAGGGTTTTAAATTTCCTGTGACTAGCAGAGGGTTGGCATGTACAAAATTTAGTTATTTATTTACTTTTTAATTTATTGATTTGAGAGGGAAAGAGGAAGTGACAGGGGAGAGTCTGAAACATCAATTTGTTGCCCACTTACTTGTGCATTCATTGGTTGATTCTTACATGTACCTTGACTGGTGATCAAACCCACAACCTTGATGTATCAGGACGATGCTCTAACCAACTGACCTGCCCCATCAGAAAATGCTTAATGATGAATGAATTTCCCTGGTTGATCATTTCCATCACCTGCTTCCCAGAGTAGACATTTTCCCCTCTAAAGAACCTCTAGCCTGCTCAGTCTGCTCCAATGAATATAGGCTTATTTAAAGTGATTCCCACTTTCCATTATTAAGGATGTAATTTGTGCGGAAGAGAAATCCATCTTGAATATTTGAGAAAGACTTAAGATACATTTACTTCTAAGTTTCACATATTAGAGAATAGAATCTTGTCAGTACTACAAGGAAAGTTACCCTTTGGTAACTTTCTTAGATAAGACCAAACCCTAGAGACAAATCAAAAGTCTGATTTAACAGAACTTTATGGAACATCTACTAAGATCAATATGCACTGTAGGAGAAGCAAAGATGACTGAGACCTGACCCCACTCTCGAGGGACTGACTTCATCAATATCTCTGTAGAATTCTATTCTCTCCCGTTGTCATGATCCTAAACCTAGGAGGTAAGTATGGTTGTTGGAAAACTAAAACTCAGATGTCCAAGTGACAAAGCCAAGAATCTAACACATCTGACTCCACAATTCATCTTCTTTCCAGTGTAACCTCTTTCCAGTCCACCTAGAGAAGGTGAAAGGTCTTAATGCTTGACAGAAGGCAAGAATCCAGGGGCAGAAGCCAGGACAGGTGTGGGGATCAGGGAACACTCCTTAGAAGTGATGAGACTCAACTAGAGCTTGAGAGATGAGGAGATCTCTTTCTTTTGATACGGCATGTTGAATATAACACTGATTTTAGGTTCAGAACAGCAGTTGAGTTTGACCCTTTCTACTCTGGTTAAAGCAACTCACCTGAACCTAAGGAGATACATGGCTAGACTCACCTGTTTCTGTAACACCCCAGCCAGAGATGTGGCACTCAGTCCCAGAAGGAAAGGGACCATCGGGCAAACATACAGTCTTCACATATTTGGATTCCAGAGCACAGTGACCATTCACTGGCTTTAGCTTGAGCAAAGCTAGGTAGAGAGAGAAAGGGGGAATGGGTGATGCTATCCTCTTTGTCAAAGAAACATCTGCTTCACTTTATTAGAAGGGGGTTGCAGAAAACCCCCATTCCCAATGTCTGAAAAACTTCTTCCTCTACCATTTCATTGTTTTAACTTCCACCTGGGAGGAAGGCTGGCAGTAATACCAGAAATAATAGTTGAGTTTGAGAAATTATCTAATTGATTTAAAAAACAGGGTTTAAGAGGAACAATAAATATATTGAGGAAGAAGAGAGAGTGAGAGAGGTACAATGAATGGAAAACTGAGCAGTAAGCAGCTGAGGTACATCATTGCCTACCAGGTGAGAGGTGAGCATGGGGACACATGCACAAAATGTCACTTAACACCTAGGAAGCTCAGAGTTGTATGACAGTCTTCCCATTTTATAGAAGAGAAAACTGAGGTTAAGAGAGGTAAAGCTGGCTAGAAAGCGGCCGAGCTGGGATTCAAGGCTGAGCTCTTTCCATAATGCAATGTTCCTAGCATCTCTTCCCCTCAGTTTGAGAGCTTGTGCACATTTACCCACAACACTAACCTTTAAGAACTAAAAAGCTCTGGAATAAATTCTCTACATTATATGGTCTATGAGGGACCAAACAGAACCAAACCTCAGCTCTCCATCAGCAGAGAAATCCACCCAGGATAAGACCCATGGGGTATCCATGCTAGAAGAGACTTGCCAAGATCATTGTAGGGAATCTCATCTCTTTCATAATAATGGCTGTACTTGAATATCTTCTCCACCCTGAAGGTCTGCTCATGGAATTCTGTCTTCTTCAAGTCCTGGTCCCCTAGCACCACTTTTAGATTTTTGGTTTTTATGCTGCAAAGGAAAGTAGGACAGTCAGGAACCAGCCATGGCACTTGAAAAACTGGAGCCAAGCCAAGGCTCTGCTCCTGGTAAACTGTGTGACCTTTGACAAATGACCTGACCTTCTACAGCCTTGATTACAGATCCTCATCTTGTAATCATCATTCTGTTCACAGAATTCTGCCGTGTGGTCCAAATGAGACAAGATGAGGAAACTCTTTTTTTAATGGAATGGTATCTAAATGTAATTGTAAACTGCAACCTGTATCCCATGTTTCCTGGGAGACCTCTCAGTACCCCCTGCATTTTTCTAAAGAGCAGCCAATGAACATTCTGAACAAACATTCTTGGTAGATGCTAATGTTTTCATGTTTGTCTTCTCTTGAGGAATATTTCCTACAATCCCTGATGAAACTGTTTAATGACAGAGAGGGCTGTAAGAACTTCAAGGCCACCACCAAAATGTGGGTTACCTGGTACCAGCCCTGGCCATGAACTTAGGGATCTCAAAGGAGGTAGTGATTCTTCAGGCTCCCCAGTGGGTTCTGGCTTGTCTGAGCCATGTGGTACTGAAGACACTTGGCATGGGAGGCTCATTGCTGATGGCATCAGATAGGAGCATGTTATTATTTTCTTCTGTCCAGGGCAGGAATAAAGAGGTTAAGGAAGTAAGTAGATCTGGGTTTGCATCCCACTCACCTACCTACTTACCACATAACCTTAGGCAAGGTGCTAAACCTTCCCAAGACTCAAGGTTATCATTTATGAAATGGTAGTAACAGTCAACTTTTTCACTTGCACAAATACTTACTGAGCGCTTGCTTTGTACGAACACCTGTTCTAGGCATTGAGGACACTATAATTAATAAAAAATAAAAATCCCTGTCCTCCCTCAGCCTGTCTTCTTGTATATTGTTTTGAGGATTAAATGTCATGAAAACATGTAATTTAAAGCTAAGCATTCTGGACATGGTAGCTCTTTTCCACCTGCCTCTAAGGAGCCACTCCTTTTGCATTTGGAGAGCCATGCGTCCTGCCAAAGCTCTGAGATGCTGCTCAAGTGGGAAAGGGAGAACACCCCCATAGTCTCTGTCACCCTGTCCCCTGCTCCCAGCAGGCACCTACTTAGTGCAATGTGCAGCAGTAAGCACCCAGCAGGGGTGGATCAGCGAACCCCCGCAGAAGTGGCTCAGTGGCAGGGAGCTCTGCAGGGACACCTGCCACGGGTGTTTGCCCGCTGTGCTCTTAAAGCCTCCGTAGATCCTCTTGATTTTTCTCTCTGTGATGTCAGTCTTCCCGCATGAGTCAAAACCTGGAAGCCTGGTCAGAGGTTCTGTGGGCCCTTCCTCGGGGTCAGTAATGTCTGTAGGACACAAGAAAGACAAATCATGCTATTCACTGCCCCTGCAGGTCCTCAGAAGGACCTTGTTTGAGGTGTGACTCTGAGTCCAGCTGCTTAGCAAGTGTCCAGAGCTAAGAGACTGGTACACACAGGGTGGGCATGGAGTAGGTACACAACATTTATTAACAACATTAATTCATATAAAGCAAGCCTATAAAATTAACAATGGAGATGTTGCTTTTTCATTCTTATTTACATGTATACACACCCAAAGAAGTATGTGTAAATATATAAATCCATCACTGAGTATGTACTGAGCTAGCCATTAAGGCACACATGTATTTGGGAGCCTTTTTCAGCATATAGGAAAAGATAGCCAGATGAAGTAGAATGGGGGAAATAAGACATTTGCAGAGGTAACTGTCATACAAAGTGTTAAGTGTCATAAGGGTGGTGCTGGTTCCATTCCTTGGGGTTTGTAAGAAGGGGGAGACAATACTGTGCTTGGGAGATCATGAAGGACTTCCTGGAGGAGGGGATCCTTGAGTTGGTTCTCAGAGAATGGTGGACTATGGACAAGAGCAGCTATGAATGCAGTCTTACAGACAAAGGTGACTATCCTGGGAGCCAGTCCTAATGATTAGGAAGAAAGGGTGTGTTATTCCAGATGTGGTGGAGAGGTGGGCTGCACAGCCTAGGAGGAAGACTGTGAGGCTGGAATTCAAGCCATTTTTCACGTGAGAGGCTCTGGGGGCCCAGCTACTGTGTGATTCCCACTGTATACCCAGAGCCTGGTATAGTTCCTGGAGCACAGCAAACAATTGAAGAATATTTGCCGACTGCACTGACTTGGAGTCAGGGAACGTGAATGTACAGTTAGACCAATGGCCCAAATTTATGAAGGTATTCAGGTCTGCTTGGCATCCCAAGAGGGGAGCAGAGAGCAGAGGATGGGGCAGTTGGGTCGCCACTGGGATGGGGACTGGTAAAGCAGACGTGCTGGGTGCTGGGACGATAGGGGTGGGAGAGAAAGAGGTCCAGGAACACCTGTCTGTGGATCCACATCCTCCCCACTGCCAGGGCTCTGGGCAGCCGCAGTCTTACCTAGGGCTGAGCAGAGGGAGACATCACAGTACTCCCATTTCACCTTTGCATTATTTACTTTAATGAAACACCAGGGCTTTTTGTCTGCATCTGGGTTTCTAAAATATAAAATAAAATAAAATAAAATAAAATAAAATAAAATAAAATAAAGTAACCCAAGGTCAAGGCTTGATGAACCCACTGGACCTCATTATAGGACCTTTGGGTAGGAGAGCAACAAATTCTGGTGTGTCTCTTGAGATCATATATTGACTCTGGCATATTAGGATGGTTATAGTTTTTTGGTAAAACTTTAATTTACAGAGGAGAATCCCAATGACCAGGAAGTAGCTCACAAGTTTTGGGTCAGATCCAAGGGACACATCAAAGAGTTTGTAGGAAAAGAAACAAGATCCCTGTTGAAGCTCTAACTTTGTTGGGACAGTGAAATAGATGTAGAAACATGGTAAGAGGAGGGCTCCTTGGTCCAAACCTCCCAATTCCATGTGTGGGAAATCTCTGAGAAAGGCTGCCAAGGGGTCACCCTGAACCCAGCTCCATGAAGCAAAGAGCTCAAGGGAGTGAAAGTGGAAGACAACTTGTGTTGTGTGCAAGGCAAACCCTCTTGCTTGATAAAACCAGTTCAAAGCCATACAAAGAACTCCTGCCCCTTATAGGCTGATCACAAATACCTTTGGCTTTGGTAGGACAATGAACAGGGAGAGGAAGACAACAGAATGGGCTGGAGGCACCAGAAGGGGCAAAAGGGAACTTGTCATTATCTTCACTTGGGAATACCTGAACATCCTCGTGGCAGAGGCTGCAATGCTCACCAGACATTCCATTTCCTCCTCTGTTATTTCTCTCTTGAAGTTATGGGGGACCTTACAACTATTTTTGGTCAATGAAATATGTGTGCAGAGTTGATGGGTCATTTTGCGGTTGAGGTAGTAAAAACAAAACAAAGCTCATGCTCCATTTTTTCAGTTTCTTTTTTTCTTGCCCTTCCTGGGTGTTTGAATCACTTTGTGGAGCAGCCCCACCTCCTACCCCACCACCAGCCTACATGATGCATAGCACTAGTGAGAAATAAACTCCAATGTATTCAAGCCACTGAGGTTTGGGGGTTGTTTATTATAGCAGCATAACCTAGCTTGTCCTGTGTTCTGCCCCAAAATTTCTAAGCTGGCCCGGGAATACTTGGAGCAGGAGAAAGAACCAAACCATCCCTTGCACTGACATGCAGTGGAGTCCCAGCATAGGGAAGAAGGTAATTTTTACCTGCAGAAGTTGTGCTCCCCAATCCCATGGGCCTCAGCATCCTCCATAAACATGTTGTAATGCTCTTGCAGGAGGAGGTGGGAGTTCCAGTAAAGGCATGAGTGCTGGTTGACTGTCTTACTCACTTTCCCTCGGTAAGAGTAGCCATCGCCAACATAGCAGTCATCAGAACCTCGGAGAGAGTAGGCAGGGCCGTGAGAACTGAAAACAACTGGCGTGCTGCTCCCATAAAGGACTTGGCAGGCATACTAGGGGGTGAGAGGATTGGGCCTGAATGTTGATCACTCCAGGAGTTTACTACAAAGTCCCAGAAAGGAGGTGCCTTGATGGTTCCACATTTAACCCAGCTTGAGATACAGTGACTGTGAGTGGATGGGTGGGTGGGAACTTAGTTACCTAATTTTGGCTCACCCGAGACCTGGTGGCAGGTGGGTTGAGGTCCAGGGGATGTCCAGGTGTGTCTGGTTTGCCTGAACTATATCCCAGACATACCCTATGCCCTTAAATTAGAAGACTGAGGCAATAGCAGAGTTTGGGAATCAACTTGAGGCCCATTCTGGGCACAACACCCAAACAGAAAAGGATTCCGGAGGTCTTGCTGGTGGCCCTGAGATTCCGAGGAAGTGGTGGCAGAGACCCATACCTATTTCACAGAATTTCCCCTTGAACTGGTCAGGACAGGCACAGGTAAACTTGGACCTCCGCCGGTGCCGGGAGCAGGTGCCGCCGTTCTGGCAGGGGTTCGGCCTGCACGCAGGAACGGCTGTAAACACAGGAAGTGGGGCCGGAGAGGTCTTCAGAGGGAGTTGCATCTACATCTGAGATGATGAGGAAACACTGGTGTCTGTCCTTTCACAAAAGATGGGTCACCCAAGGGGAAGGACAGACCCACTGACACTCTAGAACATATACACACACAGATGAAGGTCACATGCCAAAGTGTAAGTAAGCAGGTGGGTCTCTCAGTAAGAAACAGCAAGTGGCATGGACTGGGCGGGAATTTGGGGAAGTCTGAGCTAAGGTGAAATTTGGCTCTGCCTCTTTATAGCTGTGTGACTCTGAGCACAACCTTTCTGGACTCCGGTTTCTTCATCTGTAAAGTTCTTCCCAGCAGTGTTTTTGAGAGAATGCGAGGGAGCATGTAAACCTCCTGGGACAAAGCCTGACTCACAGCACTGAGTCCACATAGACTCATTCCCCACCATGGGCTATTCCAGGAATATATGGGGAGTGACTTCCTGGCAGAAGTGATTTTTAAGATGATTGTTTTTGGATGGGAAGGGGGTACAGATCAGTCAATTCTCAGTAACTATCCAGATATGATGAATCTTAAAGAGTTCTAGTTATAATGGCCATCATGGATGTTATCAAAGCATCAAATATATCTATCTGACTGCCACCCATAGGGTGAAGAGACCCCAGTCACAAGCCAGGGCAGAGAAAGCCTAGCACAGAAGGGGCGGCCAGCACTTACCTGTGGAGCAGTTGGGGCCCTTGTAGGGGTATTTGCAGGCACAGCGGTAGTAGGGAGGACTCTGAATAACAAGACATTCGCCATGGCCACATGGGTTTTCCTTGCACTTGTTGTTCACTGTAGGGGATCCATAGAAAAGAAGTTCCAAATGTACAGGACATCATATACCTAAGCAGTACAAGGTTTGGGGGCGGGATGGCACAGCGTGTGTGCCTTTGTCCATGGTCCTGAAAGACCTGCTGCCCCCAGAAAAGGCTTTTCTCTAATCTTTGGGTCACGGATGATTGCTTTGCAGTTCCTTCCAGTGTCCATGGTCTTTATTATTCTCTCTTAACAAAAATCATAATAGTTTTTACACCCTTAGCAAACAAATGGGCTGCAACTTGCGTTGTTCCATTTTACAGATGATTTCTTATTCCATTTGCAGTTTTCCACATTCTTCTGAGAAATTAAGGGATGAACCCAGAAACTATGTTTACCCATGTTTTGCCATGTATAATGTGTTCCCATGTAAAATGTGCACCCACATTTTTTGGCACAAACTTTCAGGGAAAAATTCTTTCATTTTAATTTTTTAATTCAATATTTTATCTATATTTAGAAACAAAACTGATGATCATATTCCAGGTTACTATTTTGCACATGGATATCATTATTGCTTTCTATAGTTACATTTTTAATTAATGAGCATAAATAAAAGAATTAAAAACATTTATATAGATACAAAATTAGTACTACCCGTGTATAATGAGCATCCTTATTTTTCCCTCAGAAATTTGGGCAAAAAGTATACATTATACATGGCAAAATACGGTATATCAATATCTCAAACAATCCCGAAACATGTACGGAAAGGACTTGTAGGACTGAAAATAGAAGAAATAAATAAAGGGGACATAGGAGAAAAGAGTCAACCAAAAAACCCTATATATGTAAGGCCCCCACTGCCCTCCTTCTCTGGTTAGGTGGTTGCTACATGGAAGAGAATCCAGGTTCTTGCTAGGGGTGCAATTAGCCCATAGGAGTTTTACTCCTCATGCTTATGTTAGACCCACAAGAACTCATGAAAGGCAGACACGGCTTTTATCAGAGTCTCCCTGAGCACGAATGGCAGTAAGAAAGAGCATGGAGCAGGAGTTAGGCACCAGCGTTCTACTTTGTGCTCTTCTGCTAACTAGCTGGGTGACCATGAGTAAGTTGCTAAGTTGCTTGTGCTCTCTGTGCTCCCTTTCTCAAACTGAGTTGGGTGCTATGTGGGCTGAGACTGTAGTTAGTCTAAACACTCACAACAAAAGAAATAGAAAGTCCTGAGTTCAAAATACATCTTGGTCAGAGTCCAGCTCTTATTTCCTCTTAGCCTCAATATTCTCATCTGCAGAATGGGCATAATAGCCCTATTTATCACACAGGAGTGAGGGTTCAGTGAGATGCTGCCCGCGACCGTGCTGAAGAATCCATGATGCATGATACAATGTGTGTGGTTAGCATCCTTCCCATGGGATTGCTCAGCCCTTCTTGCTCCTCTAGAGCTGGGGGAGGAAAACACCTCTTGTTCAGCTCAGAGGGAAGAGTGAATCCAGAGGAGGTGCACTCACCATTCTCACACTTGCTTCCAGAGAAAGGGGCCGGGCAGCTGCACGTGAAACTGTCCCCACTGTCAAGGCAGTCCCCACCATGTTCACAGGGGTTGGGCAGACATGGATCTAAGACACATGGGCAGAAGGTAATGTTTACAATGAACACGAGGCAAGAAGCCCCCCACTCACTCATCAAATTTCAGTCTCCTGCCCAAGTGAGAAAGTAACCACATACCTAGTGATTGGGGAAAGGGGGAAACACACATGGCCCTAAAAGAGCAAGGAAAACTGCAGTCACAGGACCAGAGACAGGGATTCAGGTTGGAAATAGGGCAGGTGAGAAGGAATTGGGCCAATCTCCCTTCAGCCTGGATTTTGATGGGGCCTTTCTCATTGAGAAACTCCCCCTTTCCATCATTGCAGTGTTTTTCCTCCCAGTCTCGCTGGGAGTGCATGGGGTCTGTCTCTGATGCTGAATGCATTTCACAAGCCTGAAGACCTCCCCTACTCCCAGTGCCCAGGGGTGGAGGTCAGGCCTGGGAAATAAAACCCACCCCTAACGAAACACAAGCTTTCTGAACATCAGGCAAGAAGACCAAAGGCGAGAGGGTGACAGAAAAATTGACGGCAAGGAGGAAATGACCCAGTGGCCTTCATCTTTCTTCAACTACTTGTTCAGTTAGATTTTGTCATATTTCATCTGTGCTTTTGGCTTTTCATGGTTGTCTGAATGGATCTTCCCTCAGGGAATTCTTTATCCTTCTGTTCACACACATTGTTCTTTGGTTCAGGAACTAGGATCCCTGGGCCCGGCTCTTGTTTTGATGGTCCCTTCTGATGTTCCCCTGATGCCCCGTATCTTAGCCCTGCCTTCCAGGCCACTTTGCACAGTTACACAGCTTTTATTCCAGCTGCTAGTGCTTTCCATTTCTTCTTCTGGTTTAGTCACATGGTTTTGCTTGGACCAGCTTCTCATTTTCCTTTCTATCTTATTGCTTAGTTAAGAAGCCACAAAAATGAAAAGAAAAGTGGTAGAAGCATACATGTAAGATGTTCACATTCTGACAACTGTGAAAAGCTTCTGAAGAGCTAAACAATGAAATAAAGCTCTGGCTGGGTAGGTCAGTGGGTTAGAGTGCCATCCTGTCTGCAAAGGTTGTGGGTCTGATCTCTGGTCAGGGCACATGCCAAAATCAACCAATGAATGTATATATAAGTGGAACAACAAATTGAAGTCTCTCTCTCCCTCTCTCTCTCTCTCTCTCTCTCTCTCTTCACCTCCCCCTTCCTCTTTCTCTCTAAATAATAAATTTTAAAAAGGAAAGTGAAATAAAAAACACAGCTCAGGTATAGGAGAACGAAAGACCCAATGCCAAATGTGTACACTCTATAATTTGATGCTGAATGTTAATCCAGAGTCTTCTTCCTAATTAGGACCTACCTGTAATCAAAGGTCTGGGAATGGTTTTGAATAAGACTTTCCTCACAGCATCAGGAGACCTAGTGATGAGGCACTGACTTGCTGTATCAACTTGGCTAAGTCAACTCCTCTCTTAGCCTCATTTCCTCCATCTGTCATTTGTGGGTGAGAGAGATGGTCTCTAAGAACATCCCAGTCCTCAAAGTATATAATTCTAACTGGAAAAACAGCCAGTTTAAATCATTTCTTTGATCCCTGTTTGACGATGCCTATCAGAGAGTGGGAGGAGGCCCTTGTATGTAGCAACACATGAATTCCCCTCCAGGTATGCTGCCCTCCTCCTGGGAGGTCCCCCAATCCCACCAATGGCCTTGGTACCAACCATTGTCTGTGTAGTACCACTCAGGGTTCTCAGGGTAGTCAACATCACTCGTGGTGCTCTCTTCCTGGGTTTGATCTTCATCGCTGTAATAATAGTTGCTGGAAGTCCAATCTATAGGAGTGAGAGAACAGGACTAAAGCAACTCGAGTCATTAGACCCAAATAGTTCAGCATTTTATTTCACCAAATGTGTTTTTCCCAAACATTTCAAAGTCCTGAAGGAGGAAGCATGTGTTTTTCTAGTTTCTCACACTGATGGGGTAGGCAAGAGGTCAAGCATCGTGAGTTTTCTGTTTTTTGCTGTGGGAGGCGTACTTTTATAAACCAGCAAAGCAGCATTGGCACTGATTAGAATCAAGAGCACCTGACTGGGAATAGAAAGAAGTCAAGTTCTGGCTTCCCACTAACTGTGGCCTGAGACAAGCAACTGTATTCTTGGTGTCCATAAACAGCATAAAGATGATTGGAGCATAAAGGGCTCCAAGGTCCTATATAAGATCTTCCCAGGGTCATATCCAGTGGCACTTGAATGTCTTTTTGGGTGGTTCTGTGAGTGAAATTTCTCAATGAGACTTTATTAGTCACCTTTGCTTAATGAAGTCAAAGAGACACCACTATTGCCTTGGTCACAGGATCAAACTTCCCCAAGTTGTATCTAGAAAGTCATCATAACAGCTAATGTTTACTGAGCTTTTACTGTGTACTAAGCATTTTACATGATCCATTCATTCCATCCTCATAAAAATCTAAATGTGTTATTATATCTAATTTAAGTTGGGAAACCTGAGGTTGAAAGAGGTCAAGTAATTTGCTCAAGGTCACATAGCTAATAAACAGTAAAATATAAATTAAGACAGGGTTATCTCCATAGAACCCCGAAATTGCACTAGCTTGGCTGCTTCAACTGGCCTCTTACAGGCCTCAGATACATCTATACTTACCCTTGGGGAAGGGGTCCAGCTATCCCCCTTGAATAGCCATCCTGCTAATTACGAAGCACCCAATGACAACCTTAAGAAGGTTCATGGATCCCGCCCACCAAAAGACAAGGCAGTGCATGGAGTCCCCCCAGGTGTAAACCTCACACTAGGGCAGTCCACCTGAGAAGAGCAGGTGTGTAGGGGGCTGGCCTCAAACTCCTCATGGTCTGCGACTTTGGGCAATGCTGGGAGCTCTGTGGCTCATGGAGAGAAGTTTGAGGTTTGCAGAAAGTTTGCAGAAGCCGTCCAGCTGGAAGGCTGTGTGAGGAAGGGCACTGAGATCATTCATGTTTGAGATGGACTGCAACATGTGTTGAAAGTGCTTTATGGGAGCATCACCTGGGAGGGTTTCTTCACCTCTGAACTCGAAGCTTATTTTGTCTTTTCTATTCTGTTGGCACTTAATCCCATTGTCTAGATAAAAAAAAAAAAGTACATTGTATGGCACTGACTTTGCTGTCTCTAGCTGGCAGGAGTATGGCAGGCAGCAGCCGTAAGGAAGACGCCCAGAGATGCATATGATAATGAGGCAGGAGCAAATGCAGATAGCGGACTTGAAAAGGCGCCCCCACTGAGCCAGCTGATGGCTCCGAGACCGGCACTTTACCTAAGCCCGATTATCAACCACATTACCTCACTCGTCTCTCAGTCATTCCCTTATAGTCTTTATCTCGTTGGCTTTTGAAAAATCGACTTTTGCACAATGGCTGTTTTATATTTCCCATTAAAATGGAACTATCTTTTTATTTCCTTTTTGAATCTGCCAACTCTGGTTCCTTGCCAGAGTTTCACCTCATTTATCACAGTGTCAAGTCAAGACTCCCTTTGCTTGCTCATTATTTCTCCCAAACTGCTTTTCCCCACTATGAAAATGCTCCCAGAGGAAGCCACCTTTCCAGGGATGAGGATCTGGATTGAAGATAAGGCCATTGTCTTCCTGGAGCAAATAAAGTTTCTTTCCATCTAGTTTGATAAAGCAGAGAAAGAGAAAGTGAGAAAAAATTTTTTTTGAGTTCGACATACAAGGTTTCAAACTGATGTTTGGGAGAGACAAAGGGGTTTGATAATGAGGCATTCCATCCTTTCTTTCTTTCTTTTTTCTTTGGAGAATGCAGTTTTGTTTTTCTAACAGGTGTTTATGGATAACTGCCTCCAGATTGCTCCTGTAATTTCTTGTGGGTGGGGGGGTCAGACTGGCTAGTTTTGGCTAGGCCATTAAGAATCAACCCCTTTAGGGGACTCAATGGTAATGGAGAAAATACAATAAAGAGCAAATTAAAAAAAAAGAATCCATCCCTTTGCAGATATTTGGAGATGAAAGTTTTAAATAGACGGAACAGAGTGACTTTTCCAGGTGATGGGGGCTGGACAAACTGTTGGTTGGAGGATTTTGACTTGAATCCAGCCCTCTGAACAAGGTCTGCTCATCTCTTAAGGAAGTTAAGGAGGGAATAAAACATGTAGGCTTTGAATCATACTCCTGCTATTGCCCAGGGCCCAGGGCCCTGGGTAAATGTGGATTGAAGCAGCAGAGCCTCAGCGGGCCCAGATCACCAGAAGCCATCAGCTGGAGGGCTGTGCAAGGAGGGGTATGAAGATCCTTTATGTTTAGGATGGACTGCAACATGTGTTGAAAGTGCTTTATGGGAGTATCACCTGGGAGGGTTTCTTAAAGCTTATTTTGTCTTTTCTATTCTGTTGGCATTTAATCCTATTGTCTAGATGAAAAATGTGCATTGTACACTTACAATGGGCCAAGTATTATTATGCCAGGTGCAGGAAAGCATTGGGAATAGTGGAGAGTAATACAAATAAGAGTGGGATGTGGCCTCCATCAAAGGAGCCTCTTGTCTGGGTTGGGCGGGGAAAGAAAGCTAGCCAAAGAAGGAGATGAAAGGACAGTGAAGAGGTAGAGAAGCTAGATGCTGCCAAGCCTAGGCCTGGTAGCACTCTGTTGTGGTCTTAGCCCATTTGATGGAAAAAAGTGGCCCTGATTCCCACCTCTCCCTGAATCCACACCTTTTGCCATGTGACTTTGCAGCTCCTCCCACCAAAAGATAAAGCTGACTTCCCCAGCTCTTGGGTCTGGGCTGCCTTTGGGACTTGCTTTGGTCAATAGCGTGTAGTGAACGTCTGTCTGGGCCTCAAGAAGCCTTGTGCACTTCCTCTTTCTCTTCCTCCCTCCCATGGACCCCAGTGACTGCCGTGAGAACAAAAGTGGCCTATTCTATCGGATGACGAGAAAACATGCAGGGCAGAAGCAGGTCCAGGGGTCCCGGCCAAGGTCTCAGACATGTGAGAAAGCCCAGCTGATGCACCAGCTCAGCCTGGTCCAGACAAGAAGAACTGCACAGCTAACCCCAGTCTAAATTGCCAACCTAAAGAATTAAGATCTAAATCCATTGTTAATAGTTAAAACCACTACTTTTGGGGTAGTATATTAGGCAGTATTAACAAATGGACACACAGGGCTTGATGGACACTGGGTTGCTAATGGGATTACAATTTTAGATACTAGATCATTCCTCAGTGGCCCAGGTGGCTGCAGTTTCATGTTCCATGGCCAGATCTCAGATAGCACTTCTCTCTTGCGGTTAATACTTACCTTGTTCTATCTAATTTGTTTCCTCCCACTTGAAAGTTGGTTTCTTAAGAGAAGGGCCATGTTTATTCCTCTTTCTACCTCAATGCCCAGCACAAAGTCCTATGTGCAGTTAATGTGTATGTTTGACAGATTAATTTTTCCCTCTGTGACCAAGCCCTTCCTTCTTTTTTTAAGTATATTTTATTGATTATGTTATTATAGTTGCCCCAATTTTATCCCCTTTTCCCCCCTCTGCCTGGTTCCTCGCTTCCCTCCAACAGTACCCCCGTCCCCTTAGTTCACGTCCATGAGTCATGCATATAAGTTCTTTGGCTTCTCCGTCTCCTATACCATTCTTAATATCCCCCTCTCTATTTTGTACCTACCAATTATGCTTTTTTAATTCTTGCACCTTTCCCCCCATCTTCCCCCTCCCCCTGCCATCTTATAACCCTCCAAATGATCTCCATATCTATGATTTTGTTCCTGTTCTTGTTGTTTACTAATTTTTTTTTTAGATTCGGTTGTTGATAGTTGTGACTTTGTTGTCTTCTTCTTGATCTTCTTCTTTTTCTTAAATAAGTCCCTGTAACATTTCATATAATGCAGGTTCGGTGAAAATGAACTCCTTTATTTTGCCTTGTCTGGGAAGCACTTTATCTGCCCTTCAATTGTAAATTGCTGGATAGAGTAATCTTGGTTGTAGGTCCTTGCTTTTCATCACTTTGAATACTTCTTGCCAGTCTCTTCTAACCTGCAAATTTCCTTTGGAGAAAGCAGCTGATAGTTTTATGGGAACTCCTTTGAGGTAACTCCCTTCTTTTCTCTTGCTGATTTTAAGATTCTTTCTTTATCTTTAACCTTTGGCACTTTAACTACGATGTGTCTTGGTGTGGTCCTCTTCAGCTCCAGCTTGTTTGGGACTCTTCGTCCTGGACTTGTATGTCTATTTCCTTCACCAAATTAGGGAAGTTTTCTCTCATTATTTCTTCAAATAAGTTTTTACTGTCTTGCTCTCCCTCTTCTCCTTCTGGTATCCCTGTGATTCAAATGTTGGCACATTTGGAGGTGTCCCAGAGACTCCTATACTCTCCTTGTTGTTGTTTTTTTAATTTTTGTTTCTTTTTTCTCTTTTGGTTGAATGTTTATTTCTTTCTCATGTTCCAAATCATTGATTTGAATCCTGTCTTCCTTCCCCTCACTCTTGGTTCCCTATAGATTTTTCTTTATTTCATTTAGTGTATCCTTCTTTTATTCCTTTATGTTGTTGCTATACTCAATGAGTTCTTTGAGCACCTTGATCACCAGTGTTTTGAACTCTGCATCTGATAGGTTGGTTATCTCTGTTTCATTTAGTTGTTTTTCTGGGGTTTTGTTCTGTTTTTTCATTTGGGCCACATTTCTTTGTCTCCTCCATTTGGCAGCCTCCCTCTGTTTGTTTCTGTCTATTAGGTAGAGCTGTTTTGACTCCCTGTAAAAGGCACCTGTAAATTGTGTGGGGTGGAACTTTAAGTAATTGCCAGCGTGGGGCAACACGCTTCACCACTTTGTGGCTCTGTGGGGGGAGGGCTTGAAGAGGGGACTGTGCTGCTCCCTGGCTTCTGGAGGTTTGCCCAGTACTTTCCCTGTTTCCAGTCACTTCACCCACTCCCTGTATGTGACTGGCACACTTCCAGCTGTTGCTCTGGTGTTGAATCCGAGAGTGGGTGAGTTTGCGAGTGGGCCCTTGAAGTGAAGTTTCCTGAAAATCTGGCAATTTCTTCTGCTGTCCCAACCCCCACTGATTTTTACAGCCAGAAGTTATGGGGATTTATCTTCCTGGCGCTGGAAGCCTGGGCTGTGTGGTCTGGCCTGGGGCTGGGATCGCTTGCTCCAAAGGTATCCCTTCCAATTTTGATCTACCACATATGAATGTGGGACCACCTGTGCCTGTTCTGCCACTGCCACCACCTCTCCATGCCACACTGCGTCTCCTCACTTCTCTACCCAGTCTCCACATCTCCGTCTCTCCTACCTCTCTGGATGATTGTGGCTCTTTAAATCGTTGGTTGGCAAACTTCCATACAGCTTGATTTTCTGACAGTCCTAGGTGTTACTTATTTTTAAGATTTAGTTGTAATTCCTTTTGTGGTTGCATGAGGAGGCAGAGCGAGTCTACCTATGCTATGCCTCCATCTTGATTGGAAGTTTCCAAGCTCTTCTTTCTGATTGGCCTGCACACAGTGGGCACTTAGCTCTGCCAGCAAAGACAGTGTCTGCTTGGAGCAGAGTAAACAGGGAATTTAGGGAAGAAAGTATGTGAGATTTAAGTCAGGTATTTGTTGAGAAAAATGTCTGTTGAGCTATGTAGGAGTCTAGAAACTTGACCAGGTTCCACTGGTAGATTGTAGGAAAACACTTCTGGTTCAAATACAGATTACCTGAGACTTTCTCTAGGCTATAGGAAAGAGGGGAGCTTTCAGGAAAGAATGGGGCAGCTGTCAGAAGGATATTATATAGATATAAAAAGAAATCCTGGTGGATTTTTCTACTTATCAGGATCTGTTTCTAGAATTTATCAGGAAGAATAGTGAGAGTATCCTGAGTTAATCTGAATAATCCTAATCAAAAGTTATTATGTACCAAGTATTTTCTGTGTGCCAGACACTACACTAAATAAACGTGTAGCACACAATCTTATTTAACCTTAAGATACCCCTATATGGCATGGACATTATTATTCCTACTTTATAGAAAAGCAAAAACTAAGGCAGAAGGAGATGGCATCTGAAACCAAGTGTACCCAACTCTAAGTCTAGCGTGCTTTCTTTAGAAGCCCTGGAGCCCCTTTGTGGGTTTACATTTCATGAAATTCCACGGGTTTTAGCTTCCAGGAAGTAACACGCACTGGAAAACCTTCTTTTGCACAGGCACCTGGTCCCTTGGCCAGGATTACTGTGGTCCAGACCCAGGGTCTCTTGAAAAACACTCCTGAGTCCCTGTGATGGAGGCTTTGCAGCTGCTCTGGGTAAAGAGCTTGCCAGATGTGTGGAACGGAATAAAAATCCCTGGAATGCCGTCCCCGTTGGCGTCATCCATCACCGTGGCACAGACGGTTCCTCCCCCAAACCCCAGCCCTGTCGGTCTGCATTTGACGCTTCCAATCCAGCTGACAGGGCAAGCGCAGCAGAGACCCTCCCTGGCAGCCGGCAGGACAGCTGATGGATGGGCTCAGGCTGTGTTGCTGGGCAGAGCTGAGCCTGCTTTGAAGAGGCATTTCCGCAGGCCTGTTGGCTGCTGCGTCACCTGCTTTGGGGAGATGGGCAGAGTCTGTGCTGTTTGATGGCCACCTCCTCTGTCACCCATTGGGGGCTGTGGCTTGGGCACCTTCTGCTCCAGCAAGACCCCCGCCGTGCACTGATTCCAGCAAGACTGATGGACGAAAGAGTTTGCCGTTGGCCATGAGCAGTGTTTCCTTGGCCACATTGTTGTCGAAAGCCTGCTGGGATCTGATAGATTTCATCAAAGCACAACCCCCCTGTGAAATTAAATCAGACACAAACAGGGGTGTTTTTAGAACCTAACCTGCTCTTTGCAGAAAGGCCCAGCCCCTACATCTCACCCCACTCTGCTGCCAGAGGCTGACAGAACCTTGAGGTGGGCTCGGAAGCCCAGGGGGTGCGCTCCACGGTCCTTTCCAAAACCACAATATCGGAAGCTATTGGCAGCGTTCTCACGGGGCCCAGAATTTCATGGTGTTACATTCGACAATTTCCACTCCCAGCTAAGTTTTTGTTTAGCCTGTGCTTAAATACTACCAGCAACGGGAAGGTCACTACCTCTCAAGAGCCCATTCAGATTTTTGGACAACTCTGGTGACTAGGAAGTCCTTCCTGCTTCCTGCTTGCAGAGCCCCCAGTCTCTTTAATTAAAGCTTTATGGACCCACGGAACGAATCCTCCCCTCTTTCCTGACCTCTTTTCAGGAGGGCCAGCGCTTACGGTGGGTTGTTCGTGTTGTTCACTGCACAATTCCAGAGCATCATAAACTCGTACTCACTGTATATGTCTTTCACAACTTGGTGGCCGATGGCAATAAAATGCCGTGTGGTAAAAATACCTCTTAATCCCCACAAAGTCCACCTCATGGACTAGGGGTGGGGCTGCTTTTCAAATACTTGAAGAGAGTGAGGTCCCTTGATTCTTTATGTTCCTGTTTCTTCCACTGGGTGACTCCACTGTGCTGCAGTTCTCTTTCTCTGATGCCTGGACCAAAGCAGCCCCTTTGATGGGCTGCAGCAGTGAGCGCTGAGGCTGGGCCAGGGGCTTGGCTCGCTCCATCCCTGGGATCCACAGGTGGGTGCTGGTGTGGCCAGCCGGGGGGCCCTCCGAAATAGGGTTCTCCAGGGAACTGAATTATGTGTTGTTGGATTGAACATTCTCCTCTGCTTTGGGGAAAGACACAGATCCCTCAACATGGTGTTCACATATATTTTTGTCCAACTCCACAAACATTTCCTGAGTCCCCGGGGCAGGACAAAAGCCAGGCATCAATTGCTTCAAGCTGACACAAGTCTGTCTGCCCACCCCAGGCTTTGCTGCAGAAGATTATTGACAGTCACACTGAATTTGGTAATCGCCACCTTTGCTACAAATAGGTCCCAAGTTTAGATGGGACTGCAGTCTCCCCCTGCTCTCTGCCTGGCTGTTGTCCTTTGTGGGTGGCCAGCCCAGATTGCTACCAGTAAGTAAGGGCTGCTGGCTTCTTCCCTGATGGAATAGTGAGTGGTCTTTTCTTCCTCAGGTCTCAGAGCAGCAGAGGAAGCTTTGGACCCAGAGTCAGAGACCAAGGGCAGAGGGCGTGGCCTGAAGGAGAAACCCTGCCCAGGCTGGGCTTGGCTGTGGGCACCGGGCATAGGAGGTGGGAGAGGGAGAAGGTGAGCAGGCGAAGAGTGAGTCTATGCAAGGGCAGGGCTCATCGGGGAGTGGACGTGTTGAATCTTGAGGAAAGAGACCAGCGGGAGGTTCTGGTGGGAGCCATCACCAGGGCTGGGTCAGGCCGGGGGCTGCCTGCTTGGCTGTGACACCATCCCCCCAGAATACAGGGGCTGGCTTCCCACCTAAGGGGGCAATGTCAGCAGCAGCACAGGGCTGGCCAGCCTGGAACCGGTCATTGCTCAATGACGCCCTCATTTTGTCTTGTACCTGTAACTTCATCCCAGCCACTTATGGGCTGGGTGACCTGGGGCCAGTTATGTCCCCTCTCTGGGCCTCAGTTTCCTCCTCTGTAAAATGAAAGGACTTAGCTGCATCAACAGTTTTTCCCTTGAGACTGGGCATCAGGGGTATCCATGGGCAACTGGAAATCATGTAAAGCATTGAGTGTGTGCACAGATACACCCACAGCCAGGAGTGCATTTTCCAGGACAATTCCCAAAGGACCCTGTGACCCTTCCGAACCACGGGAACTCTGAGGTCATGCCAACACTCCCACGTGTGGGCCCCCTTTCCCTTACCCCAGAGCCAGCCCGTGGTTGCTAGGGGTCCCGGAGCAATCAGCACACTCACCTGGGTCCGGGTCGAGGAATAGAGGCATCAGGAAAAGCTGAAAGACAAAATGACAGAGCAGAGCAAGGGTGAGTCCACCGAGCTGGCTGACATGGCCTCCAGGAGGACAAGGCTCTTGTCTGTTTCATCGCTGATACTGTTCCCCAGACCTGGCAGAGCACTTTTTCTGTGGCATTCCCCAAAAAGGTTTTGCTGAATAAATAGTGGTATCAACAGTTCCTCTTATAAGGCAGTACTTCCCAGGAAAAGAAAGTCTTACTCATTTAGTAGCTGGAATATTTTCTTGCACTTAAATCAAGGGTCAGTACATGAAAGCCCTTGGGCCAATCCCACCTGTTGTGGTTTTATAAGTAAAGTTTTATTGGGACACAGCCATGCCCATTGCTTACACACTGTGCCTGGCTGTTTTTGTGCTGCAGTAGCAGGGTCGTTCGGACAGGGACAGTATAGTACCAAATATTTCTTATCTGGCACTTCACAGACAAAGTGTGCTGACTTCTGATTTAGAAAATGAGAGGTCCATCCTCTGGCATGTTCCCTTTGGGTCCTGGTGACCAGAAAGCTGAGGTCACTGGTACCCTCGTCCATCGAGGCAGCTGGGTACATTTGCTGGTTGTGTGCTCAGCAGAAGTTCTGTCTTTTTTTCTTTTTTATAAGTTTTGTTTTACTGTGGTTTCCTTATCCATTTTGGAAACTAGGAAGATGATCAATTAGGAAAGAAAGGTGGAAAGAAAGGTAGAAAGAGACAATGCGTCCTGAAATGATGTACTAAAGGCACAACATCAACAAGTAGTGTTCTTGATGAAAGTCCCTATCCTGAATCTCCTCACGGGGAACATGACAGATCCAGGGCGTGGGCTTCCTGTGGAACAGCCAGCCTGGACCCCACAAAAAGGCCGGCGTCGTGTAAGACAAAACAGGATGTGAAGACTGAGCGTTACTAAGTGAGACTAAAGAGACCCAGCAACAAAATGCAGCCGGTGAGCCCTGATTGCATCCTAAATGTTTAAAAACAGCTACAAAGGACATTATTGGCATAACTGAAAAATTTGAATATTGACTAATGTGAGATGGTATTATTGCCTTGATGTTGAATTTCTTGTGGGTGAGAATGGTATTGTGGTTCTGTAGGAAAATGTCCTTATTCTTAGGAGAGGCATGCTGAAGTGCTACAGGTGATGTCTGCAGTTTAGGGGCAAATGACTCAGGAAACCACGGATCAAACATACATACACACACACACACATACATGAGAGAGCAAGAAAGAAAGCAATGTGGCGAAATATTTGTTGTTGCATCTATCTGGGTGAAGAATATTCATTGTATAAGTCTTTCCACTCTTCTGTAGGTTTGCAAAATTACAAAATAAAATGTTGGGGACTGGAAAGGGAAAAAGGCCGTGGGTTGCCTGGGCTGCGCCTGTTTCGTGGCCTGGCAGTCCACGGCCCTGTTGCTGCTGGAAATGAGACAAGGAGCGGGCACTTTGTTTGGTGGGGGCAGCAGGCTGGCAGGGGGGAGGCTCAGCAGAGGAAGTGCAGATCCAGGACTCGGGGGTGGTCCTGGGCCAGGGGGTGCTCGAACGGGGAGCATCTGGAGTTGACACCTCTGGGCCTGAGTATCGGGGCAGTACCAAAGAGGGGCACGCGAGCCCCTCGAGGACAGATGGATGTCGCCCCTGCTTCACTTTACCCTCTTCACAGCCAGTCGGCCCTGCCTTGGTCCTGGCCCTTTGTTCTGCCTCGTCTTCCCTTCCTCGAGCTTGTCTGGAGGGGAGGTCCTGCCCCTCTCTACCTGTCGGCCCTGAGGAGACAGAGATAGCCCCTTGAATTCTCCTGTTTGAGCTGCACAGTGTGGGCCATGTCTGGCCATCTTCTGCCCTGAGATGTGGGCAGGACAGGGGGGAGGACTTCAAGGCGCAGTATGGAAAACGCCCTCCCAGATGCGGGTTCCGCATCTTAGTTGTCAACTGGAGCCAGAGGAGCAGCCAGGTGCTGTGCTGCCTGTAGCCAGCAGGTGGCAGACGTGCCCTGCCCAGGAAGGGGACTGGATGGATCTAGTGCTGAGAGGGAAACCAAACAAAAAGCCAGCCCGGCAGGACCTTCCTGGGCTGGCCGTGGTGGGGGTTCAGATCCCACGGGCTCTCAGAGAGTCAAGCAGCTACCGCCCAGCTGTGCAGCCTGCCTGCACTGCGTGTCCGCAGGTCCCAGGAATCCAAAGCAGGCCCGCTCAGTCTGTGAATCACCGGGGCCACTGCAGAGAGAGGCTGAGGGGAAATGTGGAAACTGGCAGCCCCAACACCATGCTGGATATCTGGGGGGCCATGTGGGAAAGGCCAGGGCTACAGCCAGTTACTTAAGCCCAACATCTGGGTTGTGAAATGGACTCGGGTGATGGTGAGGGTGGGTAGGGGTATGAATAGGCGCGAAATTTGCCTTCTTTCATTCTGTTATTCTGTTCAATTTTCCCACACTGAGACAAGGAAATCAATGAGAGAAGTCCTACTCCTGGGACTGGTAAATCCAAAGAAGACGATCAAGGAAAAGGGGGAAGAAGGAGGAGGAGGAGGAGGAGAGGAAGGGGGAGGGCGAGGGGGAGGGGGAGGAGGGGGGAGGGGGAGGAGGAGATAGCTCTGATCTCAGCTCGCAATAACTAAGAGCTGACAGTGTGCCAAGGATGGTGCTAAATGTTTTACGTGTGTTTTGTCTCATTTGTTGTACAAAATCGTTGATCACTAAGGTACTAGAATTAAGTCCCTTTTAGAGGTCAGAAAAACGGTTTGCAGAGATTAAGCTGCCCAGAGTACCTCAGCTAATAAATGCTGGAGCCGAGATAAGACGGAGCCAGTTTGACACCTGAGCCCTCGCCCGTAGCCTCCGTTGCCCGTGAGGAACGGGAACTGTGGTTCGCCAGCCTATGTGGTGAAGGAAGGACGGAGGAGAGGGAAACAGAAGAACTCCCTCACCCTAAGAGAGGAAGGGCATTGAGCTAGATTAGGAGGTGGGACCTCTGTTCTTAGAAAGCTTTGTGACAAGCCTCTCCACTATGCTAACATCCCCCTTGTCACCAGAGAGCCTGTGTCAAGGTCTGGAATCTTGTAGATGAAGGGAAGGCAGGGAGGGGGCAGAGAGAAAAGAGCCTGTGCCTCTGAGACTTACCAATTTACGGTGTAATCTCCTTAGATGTGAAAGACATTGAGGTCTACTCTATGTTGTGCTATGTTTACTCTAGGGACGATTTCAACCCAGGTTCTTCCCCTGCCTTTCAAAATTCTAAACCTTTTGGAAAATAAAACAAAAGGGCAGAGGCTAAAAGTCTGAGTTGATGATTTCCAGGAATTCGCTACTAGAAAATGCTCTCAGAGGATTAGGAAGCAATGGAGGAGGGGGATGGGGCCCGTCCTGCCCTTTGGGGCCAAAAGCTTGGCTTAGAATGAAACAATGCAAAACAGCCTTTCACCTGGTAGGTAAAAGGTTGGGACTGCAATCCCAGCCATCCCTTCCTCCTCAGCTGTTCTTTCTCTCTCGGATGAACTGGTGGTAGACCAGACATCACGGGCCACCAGGGAAGGATTGTATGACTCCTAAGAGCAGCTGGGGAGGAGAGAACTCTACACCAGGACTAAGAGAGGCTGCCGCTGCTGGGCAGGAAGGCAGGCCAAGGACAGGAGAGCACAGCTCGGCAGGCCAGTCCCCGCTGCTGAGCAAAGAGCTCAAGGTCAGGAGGAAGGGTGGAGCTGCCAGTGTTCCGGTCCTTAGCCCAACTGCTGCTCATACCATCTTCCCACTGAGTCGCAGACATAAGCTGTGTCATGTGATGGACAGCTGTGCAGGGCCACTTAGCCCTTTTAAAAAAAAAAAGAACAACTGTGGCAAAAAATACATAATATATATTTTTCGTCTTAACCACTTGTAAATATTTCATTCAGTGGCATTAATTATACTCACAATGCTGTGCTATCATCATAACTATCTATAGTGCAATGTTTTTCATCATCCCTAACATAAACTTTATACTCATCAAACAGTAACTCCTCTTCCTCCTTCCTCCACACTCCTGGTAACCTCTCTTCTCCTTTCCGTCTCTATGAATCTGCCTATTATAGGTACCTCATGTAAGTGGAATCACATAATATTTGTCCTGTGACTGGCTTTATTTCTCCTTAATGTTTTCAAGGTCTCTCCACATTGTAGCATACATCATAATTTCATTCTTTTTTATTTTTATTTTTTTAATTAAAGATTTTCTTTATTTTTAGAGAGAGGGGAAGGAAGAGGGAGAGAGAGGGAGAGAAACATCAGTGTGTGGTTGTCTTTTGCACACCCCCAACTGGGGACCTAGCCTGCAACCCAGGCATGTGCCCTGACTGGAAATTGAATCAGCGACCCTTTGGTTCATAGGTCGGCACTCAATCCACTGAGCCACACCAGCCAGGGCATCATTCTTTTTTATAGCTAAATAGTATTCCATTGGGTATCACATTTTGGTTACCTATTCATATGTTAATGGACACTTGGGTTACTTATATCTTTTAGCTATTGTGAATAATGCTTCTGTGAACACTGGTATACAAAACCCTGTTCAAGTCTCGGCTCTCCATTTTTTTTGGGGGGGCTGTCTATCTAGGAATGGAATATCTGGGTCTTATGTTTAACTTTATGAGGAAGGGCAGTTCTCTTTTCCACAGTGGCTGCACCATTTTACATCCCCACCAGCAAAGCAAAACAGCACCCATATCCTCGCTAACATTTGTAACTTTTCTGTTGTAAAAATTCTAGCCGTCCTAATGGGTGTGAAGTGGTACCCCTCAGTCCCTTCTAGTCACAAGGAGTCTCGCCCTTCTTGCTGTGGCTTCTAAGCTGTGTGAGGCTGTCCTAGGATTGGCAGTTTATGGTGGCTTTCCTCTAATCTGAAGCTCAGGGCAAGGAGGGAAGGATCTAATGGAGAAACTTGGAGGCCAAAGGAGAAGGCACTGCCAGTGGTTCCTGTGTGTGGTTTCCTTCTTGGGAGCCTGGGTGGGGCCTGGAACCACAGTGATGT